CGCAGTTGTATCGCTTCGAAGTATTCGCTTGTATCGCCAACTCAACACTGACCAGGTCGCGGTCTATACCGGCCTTATATAGGGCCTCAGATAATTCCAGAACCTTCTACTGTAGAAACATCAAAAATGTTTGAACATATACCGGTCCCGACTGACTAGGTGTCGATAGTAGATTTTAATTAAGGACTTGTTAGTATATTCATTAAACTTTTGACATTAATTTTTCAAACGTGGTAGAGCCATGCTGCAGCTATAAGTAGTATATAGTTGTAGCACGAATGGGTCGGCTCGGCCGGGGAAGGACCACGCTCTCACAGAATACCAGTGTAAAATAGCAGCTTAACATTGTCGTGTTTCGTATGGTGAGTGTAGAGAACCGGAGACCCATTTTAGTTTTTACTGGAAAAGAGGCATTCCGTCTTAGTCCTCACGGGTGACAACGCATCTGCATTTTGATTCTATATTGAAGATAGATGTAGATGTCTATGGGTCACAGCAACCACTTATCATCAGGTGGACTGTGTGCTCGTTTGTCACCCTATCCTATAAAAAAAATTCAACTTATTCTTGATCTTCAGATATTTTAAGGAGAACTATAAGTAACAGTACAGTCACTGCGACAACGAAACAAGGCACTGAAACAGGATGTTTCCCCTCATTTAAAATTGTAACGAAATATTATAAAAGATTACCGTTGGCTGCCAGTCTGTTCCCGATTGACTTTGATTACTCAGCATACTGATTACTTGTTCCATTACGTCCTGAAATGAAAATAGTATTTATTTAATGTTTCTTTTTTAATTAAAATTATTTTCATTGTAAAGAGAAAATGCGGGCAGCACGACACGACATTAAAGAATAGATTTTTGGGTTATTTATTGCTTTTCTGTGCCTGAACGACCGAGGCAAGACATACGAACCAGACAACTGCAACTCAAATAGATTATACTTGCGAAATATTTAGAAATCGTGTTCCTCTGTTTAAATCTCCAAAACTGGACCAATTTGTATTTTCATTCTAAAGAAGAATATAAGAGTGTTTGGCTATGTCTGTATATTTTACATGTTCCTTAATTTTGTTTGCTGAATATATATTATGATAATGGCGGTACTCGTATAACTAGGCAATTAGTGAATAGTTATTTTTGCAGATTTCTAGTTATTAAATAATTAATTTATGGCAAAAAAATACCGTAAAAATATTTGCACTGTCATTAGATAATTAATCAGGGAGAAAACAAGGTATAAACACCGCCCGGATACCCTTAATACATGGAGTTAATAATTACCTTAATATGACTGTCGCCACCGATTGAAATATTTGCGGGAGCCTTAAAAAAATAAAAAATAAAAGTAAGTAAGCATGTTGGTGTAATAAATATTACGATCAATTTATGAAAAAGTCTAAGCATAAATATAACTATTATATCATCATCATTATTCATCATAACAGCCCTGAATCAAATCCACTGCTGAAGATAGGCATCCTAAGCCACCTATACATCTACTTCCTGCATCACTCACCAGGTTGCACCTCCATCTAGTGAAGGGAAGATGACTACACCTCACCTACCGGTACGAGGCTGCAACTCGAGAACCTTTCTTCCACAACAGTTGTGGGTGCTGGCCTATTGCCACTTCGGTTTACTGATCCATTGACGAAGAAGCTCAAGGTCGCTCAGCAAGCTATGGAAAGGGCTATACTCGGGGTTTCTCTGCGTGATAAACTTAGAAATGAGGATATCCGCGGCAGAGTCAGAGGAACCGATATAACCCCACAATGAGGAAGAGAGGTTCTCAAGTGGCAGCCTGGTACCAGTAGGCATAGTGTAGGGCGTACCCAACTAGATGGAGTAATGATTTGGTAAGATATGCAGGAAGTCCATGGATGTCGGTGGTTGAGGACTGTGCCTTGTGGCATTCCTTGGGGAAGGCCTATGTTCACCAGTGGACTTGTGAACGAATGTAATAAATTATTGAATGAATTCCTTTTTTTTAAATCATTAATTAATTTGTTGCAAAGAACTGTACATTATGGGCTCAATCACCTTCGTCCGGGAAATATTGACCTCACAAATGAACTTCATGCCCGCATGTATGATTATGACGAACTAGCAAGAACAGTTTTACTTCTGCATCAAAAATACAGCTTCTTTGAAGTATATACCCTCAAGCCCTCAACATATATGGTAAATATCAATAAGTATTAATAGATAGACAGATAGAATAAACTAGATTCTCTATCCTATAAACATGTTCTGGTCCCCCATGGTAAATTATGGCGCCGTACATAACACGCTTAGAACTATCAAGCTGTTATCAACTTTGACTACACATTTCATACCAACCATAGGTGGTATTGTTCTCTTAAAGCATAGTGATTATATTCCCTATAGAAATTCAACGATGGAGTGACAGTGCTACGTTCTGTTACTTCAACTACAGTTACCAGCACGAGTCGTGAGTACAGATGAACTGGGGTGGGGGTTGAGCCAGCGTATGATACGTGCGAACCCAATAGACTACGAGCATCGACTGACGATCTCATAGATTACTGGACGAACCAGGGCTGCCAGATGGGAAAAACGCGTGATCGTACGCCAAATATAAAAAGTCGTATGTCAGGGAGATTTTGAAATAAAAAGATCGTACAATCTAAAAGTAAACAGTTTTTATTCAAACTAACAATTTGTTAAGCGTTGATCAAAAAATATATTACAACTACTTATTATAGTTATACCAATTTGGCGAGGTCGTCATTTTCAACATTTCTTCTGTTAACTTAAACTTCGTACAATTTCCGTTTCTTCTTATCAATTGCTTAGCTAATAATGTTCCATCCAGTATTTCATTGGGTAAACTGTTTTATAAGTTTTGTTTTAATTAAATTAAATTCGTTAAATGCTCGTTCACAATCGGCGCTAGAATGGCGCAAACATAACAAATTCAAAGGGAATTGAGCCAGTGTTTTATAATTTTCAAACGAATTTTTGATGACACCCCAAAACTCATCGATATTTAAAATTAAGTCAATTTTATTTAAAATGTTGGGAAAACTGCGCCATTCATCATCTATTGCCTGGATTGTTTGAATGTCGTCGGGTTTTACTACTCTTAGGACAAGTATTATGAGTGGTAGTAAGTAAAGTACTTTATTTCTGTAATTACTGGAAGCAGCATTGGTAGGTTCACTCATTCCTATTTGAACTAATTAAATTAACACAAAAAAGAACTCAGGACAGGATACAGAACGAGTTAAACTGATAAAAAAAAACTGGTTTTTGACAAGTCGCAGTTATTACCGAAAGAGAAAAATTATTGTTTTTGAATTAATTCAAACAAATACAGTCTTTACGTGATTGTACAAAAGATCATCATTCAAGTGAAAGATCTAGGCACTCATAAGATTGTTGAGGAATTCCCCGAACATAACTTATACTTGTCGATGGGGCACGTTCGTTTCATTATGAAATGTTGCTAAGTATATGGAAATGTTTCCAAATATTAAATTATCTTTAAAAATCGTACATTTTCCGTACGATCTTGGTCTAGCGATCGTACATGAGTAAAAACGCCAAAAAATCGTAGGAGTACGATTTAAATCGTACATCTGGCAGCCCTGGGACCAACTAATGACTAATCACGTTGAGCGTCTGCGTGCTCAACGTCATATCGACTAATAAAAAGTGTGCTCACGATTCATGCCGGTAATTATACTTAAGGTGCGGTACATCTCTTGTGATCGAGCTATAACATAATTTCTTACTTTTTACAGCACAATTAAAGACCTTTACATTTTCATTACTGAATATCAAAAATTCACCGCTGAACATAAGCTTCACAAAGAGATTACCTCATATGGGATATATTTTTTTTTGGAGTTTATGGCCTGGTATCTAGACCTTTAGGCCAAGTCTTGAGTATTTTTATTCGGTTTATTATAATTTCCCAAATGTATAATTATCTTTCATAGTTCACTGCTTCACAATATGTTGATGCGTCACATTGTGCAGCCCTTGGGAGATTTTGACGGCAACTTGAGCCAGCAGACAGCTGACAGTTGGCGATGGTATCTAAAGGCGCCCATGCAGACAAACAGCTTATCTTGAGAATCCATCACCATCAGAGCACTTGTTTCACCGTTTCCACTAATAGTTCACATGCGTAGACAGTTAATACATAAAATCGCACCACTTTTACATATCAAAATCCACTTCAAACTATTATTTAAACTATAATACAGGAGCAGCAAACCGCCGCCGGTCAATTTCCCGCCAAAACTCTCATATGGGATATATTTGTGATATTTAGTTGCCATGCTTGTCATTGTCAGGCGTGTTGGCAATGGCACCTGTCCTTGAAACACATAAACAAGTTTCCGGTACAGACAAATCTGTGCTGGTCGGTACCGATCGGTGCAGGTATAATATTTTTATGTTATCTTATGCGGTCAGTTATAAAGAAACAGGTTTAAACTTGTCGGTGCCGACTACCTATACTGCCTATACCGAGCCATACAGTCATAGATTACTGTATATAATATACTAGATACGGTTTTTAGCATTTGCCGGTGTAGGGAGTGTGTGTCTATGAAAATAGATGTGGAGAACGAAGTTTTGATAGCCTTGGTATTTGATATTTGAACATGCCAGATATATCATCTCTTAATTAAGCGATATTCTATTTGTGTAGTTATTATGTAGTTAAATGTTTCTCGTGTAATCCTAGTATAATCCTAAAACCTGTGTTCATCAAACTTTATGTTTTATAAATAAATGATAATATGACCCATATTTTTTTTCCCTGTTAATATTGGAGACAATAACGATTCCAAAAGTTAAAAAAAATCGTCGTCCGATGAAGTGGACGGCATGGTTGTCAATAAGGACAGATTTACCTGTCTCTTTATGCAGGTTAACCCTGCACCGACCAGCACAGATTTGTCTGTACTGGAAACCTGTTTCTTTATGTAAGCACGCTTACTATAAATAGTTAGTAAATCATTTTAACAAAGAACATACAATATTACTCACTTTTGCTTCTATTATTGTGGTCAAAATCGACATGACTTTTTCGTTCTTTTCGTCCATTTCATGCATCTTTTTACTTAGTTCAACATTCGAGTGTTTCATACAGTCGAGTCTATCCTGGTAATATCTAAGTCTGAAAAGCAATACAACGAAGCACGTTAGTACATAAAATAGTCAGGCTTGTATCCTATGTAAAATAACCACACTTAAAACCAAAATAAATGTGGAAAATGGAATAAAATTCTTCTCTAAAACAACCTTTCGTATAAGAATCGTCGCGCATTATTATATTAGATAAAGCTGTCAATAGTTATTAGAGGTAAATAATGCGTAGTTTGCAATTTCTATTTTAAACAAATACATAGCTGACAATATTTTTATAATTAATTAATTTAAAATATTATTAAATAACAGCTTAATGCTGGTGAGTCTTCTAAGGTGAAGGTGAATGTAGATAACCGTAGAACTCTTTTAATTGAAATCGAGGCATTCCATCTTAGTTCCATCATAATCTATGGGCGCAACCACTTACCATCAGATGGACTGTGTGCTCGTTTATCACCCTTATTCTATAATAAATGCTGCAATAATGGATCGGCACGACCGGGGTAGAACCACGCTTGCATAGAATCCCAGAGTGAAATAGCAGTATAATACTCACCTATACAAAATAGGTGAGTAATGAGAACCGGAAACCCTTTTTACTGGTAATACGACGTTCCATCTTAGTCTTTAGGGGTTACAACGCATCTGCATTTTGATTCTTAATTGAAGATTATGCCTATGGCCACAGCATTCACTTACAATTAATGTTACAAGTCATAGTAGTTTTGAACAGTGGTAGAGCCACGCGGCAGCTTATGCTGTCGCACGGATGGGCCGGCTCGAACCGGGGTGGTACCACGACCTCACAGAATACCAGCGTGAAGTAGAGGTTTACCTCTGCGTTTCGCTTGGTGAGTGCAGGTGGCCGGAGGCCCATTTTACTGGAAATGAGGCATTCCATCTTAGTCCTCACGGGTGGCAACGCATCTGCATTTTGATTCGCAAACGAGGATAGATGTAGATGTCTATGGGCCGCAGCAACCACTTACCATCAGGTGGACTGTGTGCTCGTTTGTCACCCTTATCCTATAAAAAAAAAATAGTAAAGTCGCGGCACGTAAGTAAGTAACGCTGAACGAAACGTGGAGGGGTCGTGCACGATTTGAATTGCACGAATGCAACTGGAGAGCCAATCAACGCGTGCGAACGATACGCACTAGCTGCGCATCGATCGCACACAGCGCGACTTATGCGCAGTAACGGTCACCGCTAGACTTTTGTGCCGCTACTTATACAGCGTGTAACAAAACCCTGTGGTTCCCTTTAAGTGCGTTATCAAAGTCAGTATTCAAACGTAAAGAAATATTTGTTTTTTGAATAAACTTGAACAGTAAAAAATTTAATTTTAACTAAAAAGAATAATTTTGAAAATTGTATGTGGTTTTATTACCTCTAACTGACATGAGCATCGGTGAAGGGGGATCTTTCACAATCCTCTTATTCTCCGGATAATGCAGAGGTAATAAAACCACATACAATTTGCAAATTATTTTTTTTAATGTTGAAGTTTTGAAAAAAATCTTTTTCTTTACGTTTGAATACTGACCTTGATAACGCACTTACCAGGAACCACAGGGTTTTTGTTACATATTGTATAGTTGTTTTAAATTAAGCACCGTAGTAACGGCGAAGTAATATTATTCAAAATGCTAGGGTGCACATTACGCTAATTTAAGTTTCTATTCACAAGTTGAATATTAATAGTAAAAATAATAAATGGGCATAGAAATGCCTATATTCACCGAAAACAGCTGCGACGGCTTTCAATTGATTTAATATTATTTATGATTAAAACTATATCTTAATTTTAATCTCGCCAAAATTAAATGCGTTCGCTTAGTTTGTGCGAGTGGCTAGGCATTACACGATTTTATAGACGGAGAAGGGAGGTAGCCATTTTTGCGTCTTGCACAGTACGCATGCGTACAATGCATGCATTGCATTGTATGCATTGCTACAATGGTGAACTTTTTTAAATGTTAATATTAATTTAGTGGTTTTAAATAAAGTGTAGATTCCTTTTGTATAGACTAATGTTTATTGTTTGAATAATATTTATAATTATAGTATGGAGTCTATATATTTTGGACGAGATGAAAATGCTAAAACCAAAAATTGACTTTTTTGATTATATGTATAATGCACTTTCATTTATCCATTAACTAATCCCAACAACAGTAACTATAAATAGTTTTAGTTGAGTGTACTTGTGCAAGCTCACACAGCTAATTTCTCTCAAGGCGCATATAAGTTTGGCGAACCTTATTTTAAATTCCATTTTGTAGGAATTACATAGACTTTGTTGAGGCGCTAGCTTAACATAAAATGAGATGAAGGTACACAAGCTCAGCAGACTAAATTTGAATTAATAAATCTACAATTGGGTTTCTTAGAAACCTATGAAGTGCGTCATGTTTAAGACAGTCTGTGCTGCGGAAAATGTACACCTCATGATGAATAAATAAAAATACAAAGTAACTAATAAGCAAGAGGCACATATTCCACCTCAACTCCATGACTTCACAATTTTTGCATCTTTTTGATATATGTTCACTGGCCTCCAGAACGCGCTCCGCACGACCTACTGCAGAACAACAATATTGTTATTATAGCGACGCTCAGCTGATATTATGTAGGTAGTTTTTTCTTTTATAACCCTTCAAGCGTTCTGCGAACCAATATTGGCCGACAGGCGTGCATAACATACACTTGCGTCACGACACCAAAATTGGCAGATTGCCTAGTGCTTACAACTTGCTATTCAATTAACAAGTAAACGCTGTTTCTTTCTGATTTTAATCGTTGAAAAACATAGACTAAAACAACGCCGTAATGTGGCGTTTTAAGGCGGAAGCTCCAGGGTGGCCCGCGAAATTCAAATTTTCTTACGTTTTGTGCAATTTGCAGGTCAATTAAACGAACTTAGGGGGTTGTATTGATGATTATTATGATTATAATTCTGTAAATACATACTCGTTATGCTCGCGAATCGTATTTTGTTAAACATACACCCTGACACTGATCTGCAAATTGCAAAAAACGTAGGAAAATTTGAATTTCGCTTGCCACCCTGGAGCTTTCACCTTAAGCGAACTTAACTGCATACTTTCGATGGTTTTTACCTGTTTTTTTTTTTTGCCTCGTGAAAAAAAGGTAGATTTTAAAAAGTTTGCAGTATTAAAAATGTATGATTTTTTAATACTGCTAACTTTTTTTGTGAGATATTTGATTTTTTAATCTCTTTTCTTAAAATGTTGTATTTTTATGCAAATAAAACAAATACCTTTTTATACAGGGTTATTTTGAAATAACCGGCCAGATTTGCAGGGAAGATTTAGAATAAGTAATATAGGCCAAAGGGAAGAAAACTTAATTAAAAAATCTCAATCATTCTGTCGTTTTTATCTTTAAAATACAAAATGCGTCATCATTCATCATCGTTATAGCCTTTCATAAGTCCACTGCTGAACATAGGCCTCCCCCTATGTTCCACAAAGCACGGTCCTGAGCCACCTGCATCCATTGACTTTCTGCATGTCTTACCAGGTCGTCACTCCATCTAGTGGGGGGTCGCCCTACACTTCGCCTACCGGTACGAGGCTGCCACTCGAGAACCTTTCTTCCCCATCGGTTGTGGGTTCTTCGAGCTATATGGCCGGCCCACTGCCACTTCAGCTTACTAATCCGTTGAGCTATGTCGGTTACTCTGGTTCTACTGCGGGTATACTCATTTCTAAGTTGACGGCTCCGTGGCGCAGTAGCTTAGCAATCAGTTGTTGCGCTGGGGGCCGCGGGTTCGAATACCGCACGGAACAAGTATTTGTATGGCCTACAAATAATTGTTCCGGGTCTGGTTTGTCCTTGTGTAATTTATGTTTGTAAACTGCCTCCACGACACAGGAGAAAATCCTAGTGTGGCGTTAACGTTTTTTTTTTAAAAAAATGAGTTTATCACGCAGAGAAACCCCGAGCATAGCCCTCTCCATAGTTCGCTGTGCGACCTTGAGCTTCCTCATACGGCGAGCAGTGAAGGACTACGTCTCAGATCCGTAAGTCATCACTGGCAACACGCACTGGGTGTACAGTCTCGTTTTCAAGTTTTGAGGTATACCTGACGAGAAGATGTGCCGTAATTTCCCGAACGCTGCCCAACCGAGTTGAATCCGTCGATTGACCTCTCGGTCGAAGTTGGACTTACCTAGTCGGACTATTTGTCCCAGGTAAACATACTTGTCAACAACTTCGAGCTTAGTGCTCCTAACAACTACCGGCATAGGTGTGACATGGACGTTAAACATGATCTTTGTTTTGTCCATGTTCATCTTAAGACCTATCCGTTGGGAGACACTATTGAGGTCATTGAGCATAGTACTTAAGTCCTCCAGCAATTCTGTCATAAGGACTATATCGTCGGCAAATCGAAGGTGAGTGATGTACTCGCCATTAATGTTAATATTGCATCCTTTCCAGTCCAGTAGCTTGAAAACGTCTTCCAATGAAGCGGTGAAGAGTTTCGAGGATATAACGTCACCCTGTCTTACACCTCTCTGCAGTTGGATAGGTTTCGTACTCTGATTCTGTACTCGGATAGCCATCGTAGCTCTACTGTACAAACACTTCAGCACTTCGATATACCGACAGTCGACTTGGCATTATTTTAACTGATTGTACTGCGCATGCACACGTTCGTAAGGATCGATCGGTAGGAAATTAAAAACGTTGTTGCCCATAAATTACATTCAATTTGAGATAATTTCAAATAAAAGTAGAAGCCTTATTATAAACTCGTATTTTCAAAAAAATGCAATAACGGTATATTTAAACGTAGTGCTTATATTCTCTTTGGCTATATTATTATTTATATATTTGAAGTAAAGTTTAAAATTTGCCTACTCTTTCCTGTATAATGGCTTAATTTCATAATCCTTCCTCTTTATGTACAAGAAATCGGCAAACAATTTTAAAATAATATTGATATGTCTATAAAAGTTGAAGTGAACTGATTAATTTACAATTAAATATAATAATAATAATAATATTTATCGGGCGTTAATAAGGCACACGCATATAACGGTTGGATCATGCCTGTTCTCATGTATAAATTTGGAATACTCAGGTGGACTCAGACCGAACTGAACGCTCTGGATAGAAAAGTCTATTATCTAAGATATCGCACTATTATGACGTCCCACAGGATGCATGATCCGAGATCGTCAGTAATGAGGCTGTACTTGCCGCGGAAACATGGTGGGCGCGATTTTTTAAGCGCGCTTACTATGCATAATCGCGAAGTGTGCAGTCTCGGTAATTACTTTCTGACGAGAGCGGATGATCCATTTTATAGGGACGTTATTTCTTGTGATAAAGGACTTACCCCTCTATTCTTAACCAACGAGCAATGGCAAGACTCGGCAGTACAGAGCATTTCCGACCGGATGACCGTATGGAAGGAGAAGGAGCTCCACGGGAGGTTCTACAAGGCTCTTGATTTCTACATGAGCCTTTCGTAGACACAGTTGCCTCCCTCCATTGGCTACGTTTTGGTGACCCCTTCGGGGAAACCGAGGGTTTTGTCTGTGCAATACAGGATCAGGTTATTAAGACCAACAACTATCGAAGATACATCCTAAGGGATGGCGCCGTCGACATTTGTCGAGCTTGTCGCCATCCCGGTGAATCACTTAGTCATGTCATCTCTGGTTGTTCGGCGCTTTCTAACTCTGAGTACTTGCATAGGCACAACCTAGTAGCCAGGATTTTACACCAGGAGCTCGCTCTGAAATACGGTCCCGTGGATCGGAAACTGCCTTATTATAAGTAAATGCCGGAAGCCGTGCTCGAAAATGACAGCGCCAGGCTCTACTGGGACCGGACCATCATCACAGACAGGACCATTCTTGCGAATAAGCCTGATATTGTGCTGATGGACCGAGCACAGTCAAGGATATTTTTGGTCAACAGTAACATTCCGTATGACGAGAAGCTCGTTAAAGCCGAAACAGATAAGCGAACAAAATATATCGACCTGACTCACGAGGTGACCGATATGTGGGGTAGATTGCCGGCCGAAATTATACCTGTAGTCGTTTCTGCGAACGGGTTAAGTCAGTCAGCCTCTCGGGTCATCTGAAGCGGCTGGGACTCCGTGACGGACCGCTCTAAGCTCAAATGCAGAAGGCGGTGCTCCTCGATACCGCCCGCATCGTCCGCCGAATTCTTTCCCTTTCCCCCTAACCCTCGGCCATTTGGTCTCCCCTGCCGAGGGCTTCCATCTGGTTGGGTTTTTATTTATTTATGTATTTTTTATGTATTTATTTTATTTTGTTGATATTTATGTATGTTTATCATTTTCATTTACAATTATACATCCCAACCAAATGAGTAAACTATATAGATACCAGTGGCGTAGCGTGCCTTAGATGGGCCCTGTATCAAAATTTGTATTGGGGCTCCAATGAAGAGCAAAGATTTCATAATAGGAACAAAGACGCTTGCATTGAATGAGGGCTAATAATCTTCCACTCACCAGATGTCGCTAGTTGTGACCGAGGTAAAGTTTTTCGTTACATAGTGTCAGTTAATTGAGAAATTAGTTTTAAATAATAGTTTATCATTATCTAGAGTATTATATTAATATACAAAATAATGAGCCAGTGGTTTGATTTTTAATTTTTTGCACTTTATAACTTTTTTTTAAATTTTTCTACTTTAACTTATATTTATAGTTTGGTTTATTCATTTCTAATGTAATTAATATAAAATATAACTAACAATACGGAAGCTAAGCTACGCCCCTGATAGATACTATGATAGATAGATAACCCACATAATACTATTCTTTATTTTCTACTTAAAGAAATGTCGTGTGTGTGTGTGTGTGTGTGTGTGTGTGTGTGTGTGTGTGTGTGTGTGTGTAAGAGGGTGGATGTGTGGGTGATTGGTGTATGTATGTGGGTGGGTGTGTGTGTGTGGGGGAGTATATTACCTACCTGATAGGATGAAGGAGAGATTCAGTCTCCTCATAGTTCATAGTCTGCAAATAATTAGAGACTTTAGATTTGCAGGACAGTTTTGTAAGAGGAAATATGTTGAGCTCTTGATGTAGTCTATTGTAAAGGAAGGGGCCCAAGAAACAGAAAAAGCGTTGTGAGGTCAAGGTTTTGAACGGGGTTGAACGTACTACAAGGTGATTTCGCTGGGAAGACAGTAAAGAGGGATCATAGCTACAACTACTATGTTGTTTGAGGGCAATCAATAAAATAAAGAGTTGGCGCACGGAAAGAACTTCACAATACTGGTAAAGATCGAAGGTTGGTGATAGCAGGGGCTTAAACGTGCAGACTTTGAGGATCACTCTTTGGGCTCTTTCCAACTTAATTGGTATTGACTTACTCGCGCCACCCCATATTGTTAAACAGTAAACTATAAGTGACTGACAAAGTGCTAAGTAGACTGATCTGACCAGACACGGATCTGCGACTTGGCGGAGATTTTTAAAAACAAACATGAGTTTTCGGAGTCTACCAGCGGTGAGGTTGATGTGGGGCTGGAAGGTCACTTTGTT